ATGTAATTTCATATATATATATATATATATATATATATATATATATATATATATATATATATATATATATATATAATTATTTATATAGACTAGGTCGCAGTTACTAAAATAACATAATTTATTCTTCAGATGCTTATGACCGACATTCCAGTCTCGGCTGTAAACTATATGGTGCACTATACGGCATATATATATATATATATATATATATATATATATATATATATATATATATATATATATATATATATATATATATATATATATATATATATATATATATACGGCATATATATATATATATATATACACATTATATATATACATTATATATATATATATATATATATATATATATATATATATATATATGTCGTACCTAGTAGCCAGAACTCACTTCTCAGCCTACTATTCAAGGCCCGATTTGCCTAATAAGCCAAGTTTTCCTGAATTAACATATTTACTATAATTTTTTTCTTATGAAATGATAAAGCAACCCTTTTCTCTATGTATGAGGTCAATTTTTTTTTATTGAAGTTAAAATTAACGTAGATATATGACCGAACCTAACCAACCCTACCTAACCTAACCTAACCTATATTTATAGGTAATGTTAGGTTAGGTAGCCAAAAAAAGCTAGGTTAGGTTAGGTTAGGTAGGTTAGGTAGACGAAAAAACATTAATTCATGAAAACTTGGCTTATTAGGCAAATCGGGCCTTGAATAGTAGGCTGAGAAGTGCGTTCTGGCTATTAGGTACGACATATATATATATATATATATATATATATATATATATATATATATATATATATATATATATATATATATATATATATATATATATTATATATAGAAACAAATTACCAGAGATGATGTGGTCACTTACTGTGACTTAACTGTGAGTGAGGTGTTAGTGCTTAGCACAATTAACTTAATTAGAACTTAGGATCCAGGCAGAAAGGGTTGGGTGGCGGGAGAAGGGGGGGGAGGGTGGTAGGCGTGGGGGTGGGGTGGGGGGGAAAAGGGGTGTTAGGGGGTTGGGGGTGTGGTGGGAGTGTGAAGAGGGGTGTTGGGGGGATGTTGGGGGGGGGGGGGTGGGGTGGGGGGGGGGTACAGAATAGGGGGGAAATTAATAGGGGGAAAGCGAGGTAGCGGGGGAGTCTGGGGGGTGATATGGTGGGGGTAAGGCGGTGTTGGGGTTGGGGGCGTATTTGGGTGTTGGGGGTATTTGGGGGGGGGGGGGGGAACAGGATAGGGGGGAAATTAAACTACCAAGTCACCCGTCTCGTTCGGCTGTTTCTCTAACGCCGAACGTTTTCTAAGAAATGGATTCTTTCATGTATTTATCGTTCAACCTGTCTTAAGATCCGCTGCATTGAAACACAGTTCGTTCCCTGTAACATACTACGTCGTCGCTCACTTGGTCCATCATTTCAACTCTCTTTACTCCATCAGTCGTCTGTGTTGTTGTTTTGACCACGAGGCAAAACAACAGCACGTGTTGTTTTGTCAGGTGATCACACTCGTTCAGTCATTACAAACAGCCATAAAAGGCAGATTCAGAGACCATCAGCACTTACCTTACGCATCTGGGTGTGAATCCATCGACGTAGAAGGCGTCCAATGACGTATATGACGTATATAGTTGTTTTCATCATTCCCCCTTGCGTCTAGCAGGGGCTGTTCTGACGCCCCCCCTGCCCCCCGGGGCAAGGACAGCCCCCAGGGTCAGCAGGTGACCTGGTTCACTCACTACTTAAGTCTCTACTGAAACTACTCGCTAAAAAGTACCATATTACACTTTCTTTCAATCTTTACTGTCAATATGATCCACTTATAGGCACTTTAGGTCACTGTCGTTGCTTTAGTAATTTGTCAGCTCACTCGCACAAGGTAAAACACAGAGTGCTGCTGCTCTGAACGTCAGCGAGACTCGGAGTGTGGTGTGTGTGTGTTCTTAACGAGCAAACTACCCTTGGGCTCGTTCAGCCGGCGGTTGACCCCAAAGGCGCACTCAGCAATGTAAACTGTGTAACCAAATATTACTCTCTGAGAATAGAAATTATTATTATTATTGTACATTATAATTTTGTGAATAGTTTGGTCTAGGAAAGGTTGGATTAAGCGTTTGGGCTTTGTTAGCAGTTATTCGTCTTTGAAATTAGTTAATTAGGCCGCCATCCAACCTACTATTCTAACTAGAAACATTGGAACCCAAGCAACCCACCTAACCCATCGAGTCCAATGCATAGAATACGGAATATTTGTTCATATAGATTGCAACGTCAATGTTCCATTACGTTAACGTCTCAACCAAATAGTTGACGAGACAGGGATGGAACTGAGGACAAGCTTTCGACCATCTGCTGCAATGATTTCCAACTTTTGTGTTGTCATGTTATAAATCAGTTCGTTAGCCTCTCGTTAGTCTCTCGTTAGTCTCTCGTTAGCCACTCGTTAAGTGCCATCAATATTATTAATTATCCAAGTCTTGTGACGATCTCTTGATGTTCCTAAATTTGGTGTTTGTGTTTCATATGGCGCTGGCTCAAAGGCTGGCGCTGCATATTAGATCACTAGTCTTACATAGGTGATACAACACTTCCCCGAATAACAGCTTGTCCAGATTACCAGTATAGCTCCTTGCTACCAGTTGTTAATGGGTGTTGTTTGTACCAGGAAGTTGATAGCCCAGGTGGTTGTTAAGTACAAACTAAAGACATTTGAAACATTTTATTTTAAAGACATTTTAAACACAAACTTAAAGAATACTCACCTGGATATTATTATATTTAAATACCCACATTAAAAGGCCATTACACAAGATGGTTCTTTAAATATACAAAAAATGTGTTACTGTGAGACAAAAAACAAAGTTCTATAAATCCTCTAAAGGCACCACTTAAGGTCCATAGCAGCGACAAAGTTGATCAAAGTTGGCTTAAGTTGAGCCTTAAGTTTCCAGCTCATCTTTGGACCGCTTTGAGCTGCCTCACTACAAACTTTTGTCAATCTCAAGTATAATTATTGTCTGGTTCGAGCCCAAGGCGAACATCCTGACAAAGGAGAGTAGCTAGGATCCTATGAGGATATGAATACTCCTATAAGGAACCTATTAGGATAAGGAACCTCACCTGGTGATCCATCAAACGGTGCTCAATCGTTCTATCCTGTCCAGGGTTCGAACGCGGGTCGTTTCGCTCGTGAGGCAAATGGGTGAAGTATTATCCAGTACACCACAGAATACTGTAAGTGTTGGAGGGCTGTGGCGTAGATTTTTGTACGATGCTTGAGAAAACGACCCAAACCGTCCCTTTTTACTCGTATTGTCTCTTGCCACTTAATGGAAACAGGGACATTATTCTTGTAGGAATTATACTAATCTGGCCAGAACATCGCGTCTTGCAGGGTCTGCGTTCGATCCCCCGACTATCCAAGTGGTTTGGCCGAGTACCTTTGCTCGTGTTCTTATGTCCTGATTCTAATCCAATGCTAATCCTGTTATCATATTTACCAGTTGGCCATTGATAAAGGATTGGAGATTATACGGAAGCCCTCAGATTTTTACCCTCATTTTTCAAATGTAACAGCCAGCACACACTAAAATATATATATATATATATATATATATATATATATATATATATATATATATATATATATATATATATATATATATATATATATATATATATATTGGGGTATACTGGCAGCAGGTTTTCATTTAGACATATTTTTCAATAAAACGGACTGCATGTTGTGTTGATTATTTTCTTGTTTAGGGCTTCAATCCCTCTGACTAAAACTCTTGCATCTTGGTTTAATTATTTCGCAAATTGTGCTTTGTTGTGGTTTATTAGATATATAAAGGTTACAAGATGTACATTGGTTAATATAATTAGTGTTTAAAGGTTGTAGATCTCGTTTAGCTCCTCTGCATCCGGGCAGGAACCGAGGAAGTAGCAGGCGTTTCTTCTCTGGATCGCCACACTGAGACGCTGAAATAAGAAACTGGTGGCTTTTCGGTCTCTGGTAATGTCAACGAGCTTGGAACCCAATTCTTTGAGAAATCTTAAGGCAATGAAAATCCATGGAAATCTAGGTTCTTTACATCTTTTGGGATGATTTAGTAATAATTAGTAATTCATTTTGTCGGGGACAGACAGCCTGGGCATTATATATATATATATATATATATATATATATATATATATATATATATATATATATATATATATATATATATATATATATATATATATATATATATATATAGAGGCATTAGGTGACAGGAAATGTGCCCAACCACTTCTATCCCGCACGGGATTCGAATCCCGGACGCCCAACTGCGAGTTGAGAACGAACTCATCCGTTCCAACGAAAGCCAACATCTCTCGTACGTAAACTTTCAAAAAAGAAGCCGGACTGGCTCTCATATTTCGGAGTCCATTGGACTTATCTGCTGTTGTTTTTATTGTGAAACAGCCGATATCATTCTCCGGTCGAGGACCGGGCCGCGGGGACACTAAAAAGCCCCGAAATCATCTCAAGATAACCTCAAGATTCTCCTGTACCGGAAACTAATAATTAGGTTTCTAGAAATTCGTTCAGGCATTTTACAATTATTTTCGTTATTCGTTTCTTTATTAATTCATTCATCTTCATTGGTCATCGTTACTCGACCTGATAAAGGTTCAAGACACAATCATATTGATATTTTTTGTATAAAACATCACTTTGTGTATAATTGGACCAATTCCTATTTGCTTATCTTATCCATATTGTTCGTATCATAATGAATATTATGTGATGTCTAATGTATAATTAACATAAAAAAATATTAGCCTAATATTGCCACTTTAAAAAAATAATAATGCATTTGAATTAAAAAAAAGATATATGATATATATACGAATTAATTTGTAAATTAAGTTCTTGAAATGTCAAAATAAAAATCACACATGTCAGGACGAGACTTATGGGTAATGAAACACGTTGTTATTTCTGTAAAACCTGTTATTTACATATAAAAATAAGTGAGTAGGAGCGGTGTGGAGACAGTAGCAGTAACTACAGCAGTAAGGAGCAGTGCCCAGAGTCGGCGTCCGGCGCAGGTGACCGACGACCCTCCCTGCATGGCTGCCGGGTACTCTCCTGAAGGGGAAGAGGAAGGTGGTTAGTGCAGGTGGTGATAAATAGGGGAGGAACTATCCTGGGGTAAGGTGGATGGTGTGTGAAGGTTAGTACTGGTGGTGTTGAACTTACACACGCATCTGTGATTCACAGGACCTATTACACCCACCTGTGAGTCCTAATGCCCATCTGTGAGTTCCAATACCCATCTGTGGGTCCCTACACCCACCTGTGAGTCCCAATACCCATCTGTGAGTCCCTACACCTACGTGTGAGTCCCAACACCCATCTGTGAGTCCCTACACCTACGTGTGAGTCCCAACACCCATCTGTGAGTCCCTACACCCGCCTGTGAGTCCCAAACACCCACCTGTGAGTCCCAACACCCACCTGTGAGTCCCTACACTCACCTGTGTGTCCCTACACCCACCTGTGAGTCCTCAACTCCCACCTGTGAGTCCCTACACCCACCTGTGAGTCCCCAACACCCATCTGTGAGCCCCAACACCCACCTGCGAGTCCCCTACACCCACCTGTGAGAACATGCACAGTAATGGAGTGTTCGAGTGAGTGCGCAGGACTGCAGGTGTAGACGCCAGAGTCCTGTGGTTGAGCATCTTTCACCACCAGCTGGCTCAGGCTTCGGCCACCCAGCTGCGTCCTCACCCACACCCTCAACCCGTCCTCCCGCACCATCTGTGGAGCAAGCACACACCTGTGTTAGTGCCACACACCTGCCTCAGTGCCACACCTGAGGAATACATAACCCTTGAATCTCGTCCTCAGGGTAAACCACAGGTTTACCCTGGGTAAACCACAGGTTTACCCTGAGGTTGGTGGTCAAAACCGTGAGGTTACTCACTGGGGGGGGGGAATATTTATCTTTGGCATCGTTAGGTTAAATTGGGTAGTTTATTTGACTGGGGAATTGGGATGTTATTCAAGCATTTATGACTTGTTATGGTGGCTAATAGGCGTTCGAGACGTCGTTAAGGCACACACAGTCACCAAGAAGCAGTTGAATTGTTTGATAATTTTCTCAGAGTGTGAGGAACTCTGTGTTTGGAGTTCTGTTGAGGAGACAGTTTGTGTGTGTGTGTGTGTGTGTGTGTGTGTGTGTGTGTGTGTGTGTGTGTGTGTGTGTGTGTGTGTGTGTGTGTGTGTGTGTGTGTGTGTGTGTGTGTGTGTGTGGGGGGCCCGTCTCATAGCGCTCTAGAACACACACGGTGGATAAACCCTCCACAAGAGAGCGTTTTACCTGGTTTTAGCGACCTCCTGCTTCGTTAACTCTCTTTCCCTTTAAAATGAATTAGTTTGTTAGAGAACTTTAGTTTTCTTTGGGAGAATTTCAGTTTTTTTGGGGGGAGTGGAATTTCAGGATTTAAGAAGGAATTCTGGATCTTTGTGAGAATTTGAGGGGTTTTGTAAGGATAATTCAGAAATGGTAAGAACATTGTTGGGTTTATATGGGAATTTGAAGCTTAGAGAGATAACTTCAGGATTTATGAAGAAGTTTTAGGGTTTGAGAGATAAATTGGTGGAATTCAGAGATAATTTTAGAGTTTGTGAGGAAACTTTAAGGTTCGTAAGGGCAGTTTAGGGTTCCAGAGATAACTTTGGAGTTTGTGAGATAATTTTAGAGGTTCTTGAGGGGTTCGTGGGGGTTAACACTGATTTTAGGGTGTATGAGATAATTTTAGGGTTTGTGAGATAATTTTAAGGTTTGTGAGATAATTTTAGGGTTTGTGAGATAATTTTAGGGTTTGTGAAATAATTTTAAGGTTTGTGAGATAATTTTAGGGTTTGTGAGATAATTCTAATCTTTGAAGGATAATTTCGGATTTTATGAAGGAATTATAGAAACACGACAGTAATATCGTTGATAATAACACCGATGAACAAGATAACCCCAAAAATATGAAACAAAATACTTTCTCAACAACCTGAAAACTTGGTGATCATTTATTACAGGATAATTTGATAACTACCGGTCATAACCTTCCCTGGTGATTATCGCCGAGTCACCTGGTGTGTGATAATTATATTTCTTGACACCTTGCGTGTCAGTAGCCGTGTCTGACACGTAAGTTACAGAAAGCCAGCAATAACAGTTAAGTGACACGCAAGATGCTGGGCGTTGTCGTTAATTAACGCAGAGGACGCCGAACGTAGCGGTTAAGTAAGCCAGTCGTCGTAGTTAAGTAATGCGCTAGTTGCTGGATGTAGCAGTTAAGTAACGCAGGCGTCGTTAGTTAAGTAACATGCTAGACGCTGGCCGTTTTGCTCTTAAGTAACAGAAAGCCAGATGGAATACCTACGTAACCGTTAAATAATACAATTGCAAGCAACTATTTCAACACCAATTACAGGACGCACACTACATTGGTTGTAGTATGCAACATTGAATGCAACATGATGCCTGTAGGCTTCTGCAACTGGTAACTAGCAAGAGAGAGCTACATCATAATAGCAACAATGAGCTCTGAAATGTTTAACATTGCAGAGCTCATCAGTGACCTCTCAAATTACTAATACAAAATGAAGAGGAGGATGGGACTAGGAGATCACACCTTTGCATGAGTTAATTTTATGTTTGATGATGTTCCTGGTGGTTCATTGGTGACACTCTCGCTCTGGACCTCGCCAGCGATTTGGTCTGGGTTCGAGCCCTAGCTAGGGAGGATTGACTAGAAGCCAATTCTTAACTGTTCCTCCCTGTTCCTAGCCTACCTGGAACCTGGCTGTTATCCGATTGGGACAACTGATATTTACGGCTAACCATGAGCTATGGGAAGGAAAATCTCTCAGTTTGCTAAAAGGAGTCAGCAGTCGTTTGCTCCTGTACCCACCTGTGTAAAACTAGTAGAGTAAGGCTTGCCATGAACTATGGGAAGGGAAAGCTCTCAGCCCCCTAACAGGAGTCTAGTCGTGTGTACCTTCACCTACCTATGGACAAAATAGGGAGAAGCCTTGAGTCGACGATGTAACCTGACTGAACAGATGGATACAAGGGAGAGATAACGTAACAAACAACTCAGAATACAGCGTCTTTCTGACTTGTGTAATTGGCAATGCATTCTAGCTGCGTCTACTACACCTTCACAACCTAAGGGGCATCCCATACCCAAGGAGTCTGTCTGAATAATCTCACAGCATCTTAAGCTTCGAGTCGTCGGATGGTGTTACAAGCAATGAGCCTGATTCCTCCATTCTTGACTATTACAGCACAGAAGGCTGCACTCCCCCTCCCCCAAAAATGCCTAAAGACCTCGTGGACGCTGTTAACGAGGCACTTGGAGAGTCTTGTGAGGTCAGCCAATAGGCACTGTGCTACTTCGCCGTGTACTGGGTTAGGCATTTATTTGATGTTCAGGAATTTTAGTCCCATGAAACCCCTTGCTAATCCAAGTGGGAGGAAGACATGGTTGCTTCGTTGACCAATCCACACACTAGAAAATGAAGGGACGACGACGTTTCGGACCGTCCTGGACCATTCTCATGTCGATTGTGTTTTAAGGTTAAGGAAATGTGGTAATGTGGGGGGGAGGAGGGGGAAGAGCATCAACCATTCTCAAGTCGAACTGCATCATCTTTTGTACGGTCACTGATGGTCGAGTGGTTAAGGTCTCCTGTACACCAGTGCCATAGTGCTCCTGGCAGTATGGGTTCGAGTCACTTCTGTTGTGTGGTGTTTTTAGTTGCATATATCCCTGGGGACCATTCAGGCTTATTCGCATTATATATATATATATATATATATATATATATATATATATATATATATATATATATATATATATATATATATATATATATATGCACCAGCAAGATTTATGAAGCTTCCTGCGTCAGCAATACTGTTTGTAAAACATATTTTACCCTCTACGTCGCTTCGAAATCACTAATCTAATTTTGTTCGTTGTGAGGGTACACGGGACAGAGCAAGTAACCTTAACTGACCTACGCTATAGCATATCAACAGACTAGAACACAAAGGCCTCACGCTAGCACATACCAGGATAACCACTAGTCGATATCGCCGATAACACTAACTTCAATATAAGATAACTAGTGGCTGTACCTGTAGGTCTAACCCCCATCACACAAAATAGCCCCACAAGACTAACTTTAGAAAGTGTCGTCGAAATATATCAAAGTCTGAATCAATATCAGGACATATATATATTTTTTGGTATTCAGTACATATGGACCTTAGGCACATATAGTTATAATATAAATCATATCTCTTCATTTTAGTGTCTTTAGCTCATCGTAATCTAATACCATAAATGCAACATATTAGCAACATAACAGGATATGGTAAAAACTCAACATACTGGCAACATAACACAGTACCACATATTAGCCACAACACAGTCCCACCATAATATCAACATCCGAGCAACATAACACAAACTCAACGTGCTTGCAACAGTACACAATCCTCTCACACCTGCAGCATAACTTAAAATAACAATCACACGATATTAGCAACATATCCCCACAATCACACGATATTAGCAACATACCCCCACAATCACACGATATTAGCAACATACCCCCACAATCACACGATATTAGCAACATACCCCCACAATCATACGATATTAGCAACATACCCCCACAATCACACGATATTAGCAACATACCCCCACAATCATACGATATTAGCAACATACCCCCACAATCATACGATATTAGCAACATACCCCCACAATCACACGATATTAGCAACATACCCCCACAATCACACGATATTAGCAACATACCCCCACAATCACACGATATTAGCAACATACCCCCACAATCACACGATATTAGCAACATACCACCACAATCACACGATATTAGCCAACATACCACCACAATCCTCCCAACCAGCAACCTAATTCACCCCAACATCAGAACACAATCTAGCCATAATTGTTTAAAATAGCATTTTCACCATACTAGCATCAAAGCACAATCCCACCACACTGGCATCGGAACACCATCCCGCTACACTGTAGCAACAAACAGTGTAGCGCCGCTATAAATAGCACGCCCCACACGGCCCTTTACTGACCAATCAGTGGCTGCGCTATTTGGCTCGCTAATACATCATGCTGGAGCACTAAGCCCTCTTGAACAGCGTGGGCGACGCTGAATGTGTCAGCAGTTTGGTGATCCAGTGAAACACTGCGGTTTTTACACTGCGCTAGCGAGCTGGCGCCCGTATTTCACTGCATAATAAAAGTTTGAGAGAAAAGTTCTGAATCCCACATTTATCCCCATTGTTCACAGTTTATTTTAGAAGTTTAAATATGTTGTAACAAACAAAATAAAAATGTGAAATTAGAATTTGTTACGGAATTTCATCTTCTTTGGAATATAAAAGCAATCTGGAAATTCCGTATGGAGTTGCACACTGATGACCAGCAAGTGATTGGGTTTGCAACGCAAATTCCAGAGTTTATAGTCAATCCTCTCTGCTTCCGGCACTGGATGCAATCCCTGAAACTGTGATCAGTTGTGTGGTTTAATCTAAACTTTGACGGTGTGTTGGGTATTAGGGGTTTCATTTAAACCATCACTGTGCTTCTTAAAGTGCCATATACCCCATCAGGGCAACTATTCATGCCCTCTCAGGCGAGCTACCTAATACCCAAACAGAAGAACTATTATGGCCACTACCGCAGGAGGGAACTAGCTGTTTG